TGGACCGCTGAGATACACAGCTTACCTTTTAGTCTATTCTTCTTAACCTGTGAGTGTTCATTGTCGTTGTCATCGGTTCATTGCCATCGTCACTGGTCTGTCTCAAGGCCTCTGGTTTCTGCTACACAGCTAATAATGGGCTCTCGCTGGTGGTCCTCTTGGATATTCTGGTGTCCTCTCATGGAGATCCTGCTGATTTGGATCTGTAGGTTTGCCGACATCAGGTGTTCCAAAAATTCATAGATCCAGTGGATGTTGGGGTGGGCCAACTCATAACCCTGATTCTTGGTCTGGGTGGTAGTGTTATGTCTAGATTCTGGGATCTGCCCTCCCCATAGGCTACCACAGAGACCCAATCTGTGTGCAAAAACAAAGAACCTTTACTCAAGCTTGGACTCTCCATCAGCCGATACATGATGCATCAGGTGAGAACAGCGAGCGCCCAGCCCGTGAAGCTTAGGAATTTTTGTCATTGTAGAGGTTGGAGGTGAGGGCATTTTCAGGGTTCAAGACCCTGATTGGCTGACATTTGTTGGGGATCTTAGGGGTGTGTGTGTGTGTTAGGCTAAGGGGCATCAAGTGATCCTGTCTACAATGGTTAGAACGTTAGGAATTTCCTTTGGAACACTGGGTACTTTCATCTTAGATGGTTAGTTCATGGGTAGCACCTGGGTGGTCTCAGTTTGTGGTCTTTCCTGGGACCAGGTATTGCCTTAGGGTAATCTGAAACTCAGGCCTCTATTGAGCTTGTCATGGCGGGGCCTACAGTAGTTGGCTTGGTCAGCTTGCTAGCTTTTCCTCACCACCATTACCCAAATGAGCTCTCCATCATTGCCTCAGCTAGCTCACCCAATGGAGACTACAGCAAGGAGCAGGGTCAGTTCTCTTATTCTCAGGCCCTCAGTTCCAAGTCCCCCCTTCTAATCACCAGCTTTACTGTTTTGCTCAGGCAAGATGCAGGGCTCTCTCTCTCTGGATTGACGTAGGATACATAAGAGGGGATGGCTGAGTCAGCTCTCCTGCTCCCAAGTGTTCAGGGATGGCTCACCTGTGACCCTGACAATAGGGTCAGCTCTTGTGCTGTCCAGACAGGGTGAGGGGCAGGGCTAATTCTCTCACTCTCATGACTCTGGAGCCAGCTCTCTTGCCTGCCACAGAAAGCAAGGAGCCAGGGAGGAGGGGATCTTTTCTGGCCATATCCTGGCGGGGGCTGAGGTGGTCAGGTCAGCTCTCAGCTCCTCGGGGCTGGCTCAACCGCATCCTGACAACAGGATTAGCTCTGGTGTGCTGCCCAGATGGGAAGCAGAGGCTACTTCCTCATGCAAGGCAGCTGGTGAGCTACCTGTTTATTTACTGGAGATTTAACGATAAAGAACACAATAATAGTGTCTTCCTGCACATTGTTTGATAAAACAAAAACAAATCTATTCATTCTGAGTAACGAATATTTTGAGACTTTTCCGAACTCCATTTGTTTTGGAGGCTATCATTTTCTGGAGTAAGTTAAGCAGCTGATGAAGGAGTGAAAACTGAAGAAGGCATAGCCCCCAAGGAGGCTTCTTTGTTTACTATGGCATGCAACTTTCGCTCTTTCTCTATGAACAAACTGACTGATCGACTATTAGCAATTAAAACCTTAAAGAACGTAGATAGAAAAACACTTCGTATAATTAAGACTGTCACCATGATAGCAAGTTTCTTCCTTTGCCTTCTCCTGGGCTTTTAGAAGTGGGAGTCACAGGCTAATAGAGAAGGAGCAAGTGAGATTATACACCACCAATAATTTGCCTGTCAATAGGGGAAAAGGACCTAATACAGAACTTGGAATACAGCAGATACCCAAAGCACAGCAACTAGGTGGATGACTGAGCCATGTACTGCATCAAGTTATTTTAGTGACTATTAGCATATTTGAAGTTTGCTCTGCTTCCGTAGTTTTAGAAATGCTGTATATAATTCTAGCCTGGTTCTTATTTGTAAGGTAATTTGGAAAAATAGTATTTAAAAAAGACAATAAACATTTCAGTTTGTTATATTAGAACAATATTATACAGTTCTTTATTCAAAATATCTTTGGCTTCTTCTTTTCCTAGTTTTGTTCCTCTTTTGTCCAGGTTAAGTTATGTTTCCTGAGTGGCTTTGTTGATAGTTTCTTTGTTCCATTCCAACTGACAGGGTCAATGCCACCTCCTTGATAAACATCTTTAGTGAATATATTGTCATTTGGACACATGAAAATGTATGGAGTTTCAAAACAATGTCTTTTAAAATCTAGCTCCATTCAAATTAGTCTATCAAGTTTATCACTGCATAGATTCATTCATATTTCTTTAAACATAGTAAACCACAATGCGCCCTCCCCTTAATAACAACAATAACCCCACAAAATTTTGTCATTTCTGTGTTTTTTGTTTTGCTTAAGTTTTCTTAGTTCTACTTCTTAATTAAGAATTTTTGAGATCACAAAGATGTTCATTGTGAATCACCTTTAAAGAGTGAGATCTAAGTCTTCTGGAAGAATAACAGATATTCTTAACTACAGACCCATCTCTCTGGTCCCTACCTGTTTTAAAATGCAAAAAATCTGTTAAGAAGTTTTCAAAAATTATTTTTTTATTCTTCTAACAAAATACATGTGTAGATTGTTGAAAGTGTTTGTCACCAGGTTTTATTTAGTTGTAAAACTAAATTGACATTTTAATATTAGCCAGTCTAGTGTGTTTACAGTGGAATGATATTCTGTTTTTAAATTTTTTTGCAGTAGGTTTACTGAGTTCTAATTGATATGCAGTCACACATGTGTGAAGTGTAGTCAGTATGTTTAGTCAGAAGCTATGCTTTATGTTAACAGCAGAGTTAGCTTAACTAGTACATCCATTGTTATGATGTATGTGAATCTTCTCATCTGGCCTTAAACCTCCTCTTCATCCTTAGGAAACCATTCATTTGCTATCACCCTGAATTAGTTGGACGTTCTAGAATTTTCCATAAATGAAGCAATCTGACAGATTTACTATATTATTTTCTTAACACAGCTGTTGTAAAATTCATTCATGTTATATGTGTGTATCAGGAGTTCAACTTTTTCTCACAACTAGATAGTATCCTGTTGTATAGATATGTAACCATTCATTTTTCAGTTTCCTGTAGACTCTATCAGTTTCCATCTATGAAACTTCTATGAACACTTATTTACAACCTTCCATTCCTGTTGGATAAAGACCTAGGAGTACATCCAAGGGCCATGTAGAAAGTACAATAAGTAGGTAGTGTGCCGTGCCTGCTGCGCAGCTTGTATCCGAGAATGTGGCGAGGTGGTCGGGATTGATGACACAGAGACCAGTCGGTTGCATTAAGAAAAGTTTATGCTCCCCAGATCGGCTTAGGAGAACTTCCCAAGAAAAACGCTTCCCTTCAGAAAAACTTCTGCCATCCATACACGCACAAATCTCCAACAGCCCTCTCCTTCCTCCTGGCTGGTGGTTAAAATCTCTGGCACCAGAATCGGAAAAACAGCAGGGAGCAGAAAAAAGTAGCTAGCCATCCAGAAGATCAAAGTCAGGGTGTTTCAGTGACTGAGACCTTATCAAGCCCTTATCAGGAGCTTATATCACTGAATTGTTTTCAGTAAGCATGTTTTCAGTAAACATTGTCTTGCAGCTGCCTGCTCCCAGGCTGATGGAGGAGTGGGTTTCTGGCCAGGGTCTGTGATCCCCAAAGTAGTATAAGAAGCTGCAAAATTATTTTAGTTCTCTCTCTCTCTCTCTCTCTCTCTGGTGTGTGTGTGTGTGTGTGTGTGTGTGTGTGTGTGTGTGTGTGTGTGTGTGTGTGTGTGTGTGTATACATATGGAATCCAGAAGAAGATACCAGAGCCTCTGCTGCTGGATTTACAGGTGGTTGTGAGCTGCCTGACATGTGATCTGGGAACTAAATCTGGGTCCTCTGTAAGAGCAGCACACACTCTTAATTGCTGAGCCATCTCTCCAGCTCCCTACAAACCATTCTCTAAAGCACGTGTATCATTTTTCATACCTACTACCATTGTGTAGGATTCATTTTCTTTTACTTTATTATCAACATTTGTCTAGTAAGTCCTTGTTTTAGTTAGGCTTTCTATGGTTGTAATTAAACACCATGTCCAAAATTCACTTATGAAGGAGAAGGTTTTTCACCTACATGTCTTGATTCAATCCTTCATGACAGGAAGCCAGGGCAGGAACTCAAGGCAGATAGCTGAGGGCAGGAACTGAAGGGTGTGGAGGAACAGTGCTTATTGGCCATGGCATCTCTCTATGGTTTTATTGTGCTTTTCCTACTGACTATTAAATTTATGTAAGTTGTCATGTGGCATTTACCATTGTTTGATTAAATGTCTATTCAAATATTTTGACATTATTTTTCAAATATCCAATAGATGACTGGATAAAAAACTGACTCTATATCTTTTGTGTTTTGGTTATTCTCAAGTTTTGAGAATTATTCTGATAGTCTATATATGCCATTTTATAAGATGTGGCTATGAAATGCTTTCGTATGATCTGGTTTAAGTGTTTATATTAAGAATTTCTTCTAAAAAGTAAGACTCTTAATTTTGAAAACATATAACTTGCCAAGTTTGCTTCTACAAAAGGTAATTTTAGAGCTGTGTTTTAGGTATTTTTAACTCAGGTCCAAATATTGCTTTTATGTTATTTTCTATAGGTTTTGTAATTAAGTTTATAATTCAATTTGAGTTAAAAATTTACATGTTCAAGACATGAATTGATACTTATTTGGTTTCAATCCATTATCTATCTGTCTGTCTATCTATCTAATCAATCATCTATGTATTAACTATTTATAATCTATCAATCTCTATAATCTATTATCTGTCTGTATGTCAAAGCACCATTTACTAAAATCATTGTATTTCCCCCAATTGCATTGCTTTTGCATTTTTGTCAGAAAGCAATTGAGAAACAGGAACAATGGTGCTCTTCTAGAGGGTATAGGTTTAATACCCAGCACTCACATGTCAACTCACGACCATCTGTAACTCCATTCCAGATGATTTGACAATCTCTTCTGATATCTGCAGAAAATACACACACAGTATACACAGACATTCATGCAGGTAAAACACTGATACACAAAAATTAAATTAAAAATGTCAGTTAAGCAATATGCATGGGTGACAGTTATGAACTTAATTCTGTTTAATTTGTATACTTACTTCTAGACCACATAACACTGTGTGCCTTATAGTATAATTGCTTACTAATAAATCTTGAAATCGGGTAATATAAGCCTGTTTGTACATGGGTTTTTTTTTAGTTATTTTTCTTACTACCAGTCCTAAACCATTCAAAACACTTGACAACCATCACCTTGGCTTCTATTTAAATGAGGGAATTTTGATTCAATTCATTTTATATTTCCTGTAGACTTTTCCTTTTTATATTTCCCTTTTCTTTTTTTTAACACGCCTTTTTTGCACACTATCCCTTGTGCTCAGGATTGCTTCCTGTCTTCTACTGCTTTCCCGGGCATAGGACTTCATCGTGGTCTTTTTCATCTTTGCTTAGCCGAGCTCAGATCTCCTTCAATCTAATCCTTACTTTATTCTTTTGCCATTCCTCATTATAAAGAACAAAAAGGTAAGTATGTGTGTTTCCCAGAGGAAGACATTCTGACTCCAGGAATCTAGGATGGGCCTATTACTTAGTGCTGGTTTCTTTGTGGTAGTTCTTCATTTCCCAGGAGAATTGTAGGCTGTATTCATTTATACCTCAGGGTACATTGCCTTAAAAGCCATCCTGGGAAAAAGCAAAGGATAAATAATAAAGGAAGAAAGTATCCTTCTGTACCAGTCTTTGATATGCCAGGTGTGGCTTAAGGAACTTCTGGTAAATCCTGGATATGGGGCATTAAGGCAGATCTGTTATCTATTAGTCGGGCCTGGATATAGGAAGCCCATTTTTGAATGGTTTCTTCCCCCTGGGTATTTTGAACTGGGTGTTAAAGAGTGGAACATGTGTTTTAGATGTAGAAATTCATGAATAAAATGGCCTTTGGGTAAGCCTAGGTATTTTAAACATCTGGTCCTCAAATGTAGAAACCAACTTTCTGTTCTTCCTGACTTAAGAAACATCACGTAGTTAAGGGGATACTCAGGCCATAGCAACAGCATTTCAACTGACCTCATTGTTTCCCTTCTGTCCCCAGTATTTTCACACTCTAATATTTTGATCTTTTTCATTTAAGAAGGTTAATCTTTGACATTGGAATGGTGTTCAGTTTCTATCCCTCATCATGAAATATTTGTACTTATTTCATGAATACCCCATCATAATCTTGCAACTCTCTGTGTTAGGTAATATGAAAATATGCAATTTAATATCTGAGTGTCTTTGCTTCCTCATTGTTCCCTGCCTTGATATTTTTTTTATTCTGAAATGAATTGCGTCCTTAAATATTTGGCTGGAGTGTCATGCTTGATAAACTCTAACCACATCTTCCCTCCCCATCACAATTTCTATTTTTCTGACATTGTAGCAGCTGGCATTTTCTGTACACTTACTCAGAAGTGGCATCTACCATCATTAATTAGCACAGTTTAACAGTTCATAGGCTCATGACTGATTCTGTAATCCAGAATGTGTTGCATACCTGCAGTGACATTTCAATTCCATCAGTGATACCCTTGTATGCCATGTCCTGATGGAACCGAATGTGTTGCATAAAGTGTACTTGAAGAATGTGACTAAGAACTTCACTCAGAATAGACTTAAATCAGAAGAGAAAACTATTGTCAGGAAATCAAGAAATTGAAGGGCATAGAGTGAGAAATTGGAAGGGTGCCAGAAAGCAGGATGAACATACAGTTTCTCTCTGGTGTCACAGGTATTCTAATGTGTTGTCTTCAAGTTCTCCCTCTTTTCCTTGCTCCTAATCTTACTGTTGTGTTTTTCCACCTCTGAGACAGGATGAAACTACTCGATTAGGCAACAATATGGCCTTTAGAATCAATTGCTGAGAGTAGACATTTTATGCCCCCACTTTCAAGTAATGAGATGGCAGATGTAAATAAAGCATGCATCTGCCTTTAATCTTCTCACCTGTACTCAGAGGATATTACCCAAATGACCTCGCAGTTGCTAGAAGCAGATCTCAGAGAATGGCAAACACTGTGAACTTAGGTAAACTCATGGTCTTATCTTGATACATTCACAACTTGTAATGTTTATTATGGACTGTTCTCATAAGACCCTTCCTTTTTGTTACAACTTAAGTGAAAGCATGAACAATGGAAGGCTAATATGCATGTCTCAGTTTTAAAGGTCTTTTAAATCTTATTGAGCAACTCAAGAACAAAAGAGATGTCTTTAGTTTGAGGGAAAAGTTGTCCATGTTGCCTGTGAATTTGAAAATATACGTTTTGTGATTATAGATTTTATAGTATATAGTATATTTTATAGATTGCATAGGATAACATGCACTCTTGGTATTCAGAAAGAGACTGGATATCATGACATGCCATACCGATCAGTACAAAGTCTACTTTTTCCAAGGAGTATCTAATCCCTTGGAGAGATTGACTTGGATGCAAGAGGCCATTAATTCTTCTCAATGCATCTCTCAAGCTTTTATCAAAATTATGCACACTTTTAGTGTCTATGACAAGCAGTGAGAACTTGTTTTCCCCACAGCTCTCCTCCTGGGTCAGTGATGGCTTCTCATGTAGTTTTCCCTGACCCTTATTTGAGGGAGGGTCAGACATTTTCCATCATTTTGCGATGGATAACAGCCAGAACTATCATTGTACAGAAAGCCATGCCAAAGGGAAGGATGCCCAGAAATGGACCACAGATTGCCTCTCTGGACTTCACATCACTGATTATGAATTGGGTGTTGACAGTATGTTTACCTCTATGTTAAGTGAAGGAGAAGAAACAGACTCTACTTCCTGAGTTCAAGCTCAGAGGCAGGCAGACACGCTGGTTGGGTTGCAAGCCTATGCTGTCTTCCATCTCATGAGCTGGCTGCCTTGCTGTCAGACGTAATTTCTTTTTGTGCAACTATTAATGGAGAAACAATGGTTTAATAGTCTTTAAAAGGTAGGAAAATTTGGGAAAGACTGAGAGACAAGAAGAAGTTGTGTGACTGAAAAAAAGTAATCCTCTTTTTCTTTGACCACCAAAATCTTTTCTTTTCACCCTGAAAGCAGCTAACTAGAGTAATTGACTTTACGCATAGAGATGATTATAATTTCATTTTTCTTCTCAGGAGGTTTGTGGGTTTTCATTCTTAGTGCAGATTCCTTGCCCAAGTAATGGGAGGTGAGGCTGGGTAAAACTCACACTGTCTTACGATATGACCATTGTCTTCTGAATGTAATTATTTTTGTTGTATTACCTCTGCTATTAATGAGTGTGTCTGCTAGTATAGATAGTCATGTAGAGGATTCTCTTTAACCTTTTTCCAGTTTTATTTGGCTCACATGTTGTCTGTATAGGAATGAAAATGCACATACATCTTGAAAGTTTGAAACAACTTCATATTACCTTGGGGCTCCATAGCTTCAGAATGTGTTACCTTCATGGCTGTGGAAAGTGATGAGTTCAGTAAGAGATTTTAAGTTTGATAGGCAGGCACTATTTCTTGGAAGACGTGTTAGTGAATCATGGTGTTGAGCTAATTATGCCTATGTGTTATCCTGAGATTGTGAGGATGAATATGTATGCATTTTATTAAATCGAGAGAGGAAGAAGGAAGACAGAATTATGCTACAGGAAAAAGGAGTCAAAGTGAGACAAAATTGTCTATTGACAGATATAGAAGGTGAAGGTCACAGCTACAAATACAAATGATGAATTTTAAGTTTCTAGGATATATAAGACTCATAACCACTAGGAAATATTTTCTTTTCAGAAATATATTTTTTGTTGTATATGTTAATGCAGGAATTACAGATAAGGTTTCTTTGGCAAGTCAACTTTGTATCATGTTCAAAGTCAAATAGCTTCCAAGCAATATTAATTGTTTCTTCCAAGGAATTGCAATTTTATCTGCCCTGCCTTCCCTTAAGTGTATACTTCTTTTACACCTACTAGGTGTGGACTGGAACTTGGGACTGGAGTATATATCCATTTGGCAACAGATTTTCTATATTTTTATACCTCAACAAAGAAATACATTGACTCCAGGGAGAAGGCAAATTTCATTCATAGATTTTTTTAAAATGCCCAACCCTACTGAAACTCTAGTATACCATTAGCCAATTTCAAGCACTTTCTTGATCTTCTTTATGATAAAATACTCTGGCCAGCAGAGCTGTTGTGGGATTTGAGTTATGGCTTGTTTTAAATAGACTAGTGCGGATGTCAATCCAAAGGCCACTCAGTGTAGCAGAATAGCCCCTGGGACCCAGAGCACTTTGGATTCTTCCCTCCAAAGCATTTATAATGAACAGAGTTATTTGGAAAGTATTCCCTGCAGTTCATGTCTTAATTCAGTCATCTGGGAATGAGAAAGCAGATCCCTCTCAGCGCACCAGGAACTTGGATGTCTATGGTATTATGCACAATCCTCTCATTTATTTTCACAGTGATGGAGTGTTCTGAGCCAAGACCATTTTGCAGAAGTAAAAGGCTTTAGGTGGCTCCAGTGACAGTGGATGTTTCTTTTATTATTCTTGTTCTTATTTAATAATGGAAACATCCAGGGCCAGAGAGATGGTTCATCAGGTAAAGTGCTTCCTGCACAAGCCTGGAGAGCTGAGTTTGATACTTGGAACTCATGGACATGTGGAAGGAGAGAACTGATTGACAAAGATGCCTTTTGGCCTCCACACATGGGTTGTGGAGCACATGTACATGCATAAACCAATAATAAAATATAAATAAAATCATTAATGTATACACAGGTTAGAGCAGAAAGATACAATTCTTTGCCTTTGGCTTAATTTTGGCAAAAATCCCTCTGTTTGGCATAATATTGATAAAGACTGAAACAACATGTGAATGAAAAAAACCAACCTGTTTGATTCAATAATGTTCTGTTTTCCCATATATTCTGCTGTCTGAATATTGAGACCTGTTGATCTAGTTTTTCCTAATAAATCAGAATAATTAGAAAAGAGAACAAACTATAGGAGAGAGAAATTCTAGTACCAGAAGATATTGACTTTAGGTTCACCTTTGGTGTCAGATTAATCTGTGCTTAACACCGACCATTTGCCTCTGGTAATCTTTTCTGAAAAGGAACTGCCAAAGATTATAATTATTGGGGGAAAAGCTTTTTTTCTGAAGCTCCTGGTAATTTTCAGATATATGTAACAAAAATTTTTCTGTAGAATGGAAGATAGCAAAATCACAGCTGGATTTTACTCAAGAAAAATAATCCTGCCGTATAAATTCCAGTGACATCACATTTTGTATTGTGTGTTGTGAACATACGTGTTCATTATGTGTACACATGTGCCAGAGGTCAACATTAAATTGTAGTTTTGAAACAGGTTCTCTCACTCAACCTGGAGTTTATGGATTCCAACTAGACTGGCTGGTCAGGGATCCTCCCGTCTCTGTCTCCCCAGAGCTGGAATTACAGGTGCACAGTCCTATGCTGTGGATGTGGTTTTTGTGTCATGATATCTTTCTTGCACAAATAAAGCCTGCTTGGGGGGGGTCAGAGAATGGAGCTTGCCTCTAGTTAGCATACAGGTCTGGAGGTCTGTACAGACAGGCAGGAAGTGACCTGGCTGGGCAGAAACAGGATATAAGCAGGAAGAAACAGGAAATTGCTCTCTTCTCTGCTGAGACACTTAGGAGGTAAGGTGTGGCTGTGACTTGCTCCTTCTCTCTGATCTCTCAGCATTTCCCTCTATATCTGACTCTGGCCTTTTATTATATAGACCAGTTAAGAACTCCTTTTACTGGGCTGGAGAGATGGCTCAGCCGTTAAAGGCTAAGATCACAACCATTACATTTTTGTTTGGTTGTTGTTGATCCCATCTTAGGTCTTCATGTTCATATGGCAAGTACTTTACTGACTGAGGTACCTCCATAGTCCAATATCACATTTTCATGGATCATTTTTACCCAAATCTTTTCCTTTTTATTAATTTATTTTTGTCTTAATTAAACATGGCCTTTTGATAAGGTATATTTCATATTGAGTAAAATTCTTTCTTTCTTTCTCCCCCCTCTTTCTTTCCTTATTTCTTTCTCCCTCTCTTTCTTTCTTTCATTCTTTCTTTCTGAGACACGATTTTCCTGTGTAACAGCCTTGACTGTCCTAGAACTCACTTTGTAGACCAAGCTGGATTAAGAGCACTGACTGCTCTCCCAGAGGTCCTGAGTTCAATTCCCAGCAACCACATGGTTCTGTAAGAGAAGTACTAATGGTAAAAATGACTGAACAAAAAGAAAACTCCATCATAGGAAATTCCTTTCCTGTTACATAATGAGATTCCTTCCAATTTCTTTCATTAGTCTCTAATGACTTAGTATCAGCTCCAAAAGTCACTTCTGATATAGAAAGGATCTAAGTATTCTGCTCAGGACTCGCCTCAACTAGAACCATGTACATGCTCTAATTGTCTAGAGAGTGGAAGCTGCCAGTGACACTGTTAAACAGCTGAAAATTACAAGAATAAAAGTTAGCTTCATTCCGATGCTAGGAAAAATTTTATCATCTTTGGAATCTAGATCATGTTAACATAATATTGTGATATATTACATATTAGAGAAATCTGGAAGTCAACACAATGTAAGGAAATTAATGTTGGTATACTTGAAGCTTATTTTAGAAGCAAATGGGAGTGTGAAAGCTCTTTGGTTAATTTGTGTAAAGCAAACCCTGTGTTTCCTACATTTCACTCATCTTAATCAGACATTGTGGGGTATAGACCTGGATCAAAAGCTTGAAATTGGTTCAAATGCATTAGTTCTCAACCTATAGCTCACAATACCCACAGGAGTTGAATATCAGATATCCTGCATATGAAATATTTACATTATGATTCATAACAGTCGCAAACTTATAATTATGAAGTGACAATGAAAATAATTTTGTGTTTGGGGGTCACCACAGCATGGGGAACTGTATTAAAGGTTTGCAGCATTAGGAAAGTTGAGAACCACTGTTTTAGATGAATTCTGTCTGTCTGTCTGCCTGCCTGCCTGCCTGTCTTTTCTTTTTACTCTTTTTTTGTTTGTTTGCTTTTGTTTTAGCATTCCTGGAGAATTAAGCTAAACTCTCCAGGCATGTTAGGCAGCCACTCAAAAACCAAACTATATCACCAGACTTTCTAATTCATTTAGGAATAAATGAAAATTATTTTAATTTTATTTTTGACTTTTTAATAATGACACATTGATAAGGCTAAACCCAGTTATAGAATAATGTTTGGCAAATAAATTACAGAATAGTAGGTCTGAAATAGATTCAACATTAGTAACCCCAAGCCTATTGATCTAGTAAAGTTGTATGAAGGGGGCTATATTTCAGATACCTTGACGAAATCATAATTATTAAAGAAATGAGGTTTTATAAGAATAGAAGCTCACCTCGGCCATTTTATCCTCGGAGTCCAGATTAACCCTTACTGAGCCAGAGTTGAAAGCTTTGAGCACATTCTCCTCCCTTATCTGTCAAATTACTGATAGGTGCTTGGAAGTCTGAGTGAAGACATGAAAGACTAAAAGATACTAAGACGTTACAACCAATCTAAAAACAAAAGAAAACAAAGCAACAACCCTCCCCAAAACAAACAGAAACAAAAACACAGTGGTGGAGCCACAAACCTGTGTTCTCAGCCCTCAAGAGGCAGAAGCAGCTGGATCTCTGTGAGTTTGAGGCCAACCTGGTCTACAGGACTAGTTCCAGGACAGCCAGGGCTAATACACAGAGAAATCCTTTTATGAGAAACCAACCCTTCCTCTCAAAAGAATCTAACATGTGAAATTCTTTCAAATTCCAAAAATGATTAACATTGATGCCTTGCAAGGCATCTCATGTCATAGAGTTTACATCATATGTGACCACATATGTCACAATGAGCCTAATTCTAATTTTCCTCTCCAGTAGACACACTGATGCCTTTAACATCGAATGAAAAGTCCTAAAACTCTGATTTTCTCACAATGGTTATTCTAAGAACTACCCCCAAATAATACAAAAAGAGCTCTGCAGCCCTTGGAGCTGCAGCCTTCAGGTCCATGAGGAGCCTGGGTTGCTAAAATATGTTTTAGCAAGTCATGTTTATGTTCAGGGGAACAATTGCTTGGAGAACACCACACTGTGTGAGTATACATGGTGTGTGTGTGTTTGTGTGTGTGTGTGTGTGTGTGTGTGTGTGTGTGTATGTGTTGTATGCGGTATGAGTTTACTCTAACAATGATTCCTGACTACTTGTTATCTTCAGGACTAATTGGGCTTACCAAATAGCCTAAGCAGCTAAATATATAAGAACTCATTGTATAATGAATTATATGATGTCATAGATTGGCTCCCAATGGCATGAGAAGGATGTCACAGGGAGAAGTGACAAAGTAAATTGCATGCTGCACTTCACTTGATACATCAGCTTTCTGTCCTGCCCTCTGGAAGGGATTAGTCCTTCACTGGTGTTCAGTCAGTCTTGGCTCAGAAAGTCATAGACAGGCTGCTGTCATTGTGGGGTTTGGGATTACATCAAAGACCATTAAAGTTGACACTTCATAGCTCCCTTTTTAATTTGAGTGGAAGAGATGAGTTTGACACTGTGCTGGTCTTTTGAGGTGAGAAGACACATTAATTTGTCTGGAAATTCTCTTAGTCATGGTCTCTATGAAAAGATGTGTGTTCAAGTCACGTTAGCGCTTTGGAGTAATTGCAAGCTGACTGCTTTGTGGGTGTGATATTCAAGCCAATGACTTGAATGCATTTTTATATCCCCTTTGAGTTGTTAAATAATGAGATGTCGGTAAGTCTCCATGACCTCAAAACAAGAGCTGAGACATAGTCAAGCTTATAATGTTGAAATGTCATTTCAACAATCATTATATTGTGCAATAAAAACTATTGCCATATATTATAAAATATTTCCTCTAAATAAGCTGGGAGATTATTCAGTGTTAAAAAGAGATGAGTTCTTCAGCCATGAAAAAGCACTGGAGAACTTATAAGTATATTTCTCAGTGTAAGAAGTCAAACTAGAGAGAGTGTAGACTGTGTGGTTCTATGTGATAATCTTGAAAAAGGCAAAACTGAGTTAAAAAATCAGCAGTTTCTAATGGTTAGGGGTATAGAAATGGTGTACTGAGAACTGCTGGGCACTCAACATGTTGTCTATTATCCTTCAGTGGTGGAGCATGTCATATGTAATTGTTGAGCCCACAGAATATATAACACAAGCAAACCCTAATATAAACTATGGACATTATGTGAGACAGTGACCTAACAGTGATAGGATTGTAACAAACAGATCTTGGTGGTACAGGATGTCAAAAGTAGGTGTGGAGACAACCACTTTTGGGGGGACACTACTTGAGAGGAGACAGGATCATGAGGATTTCTGGACTTTGTTCATAGTTTTTCTGTTAGCCTATATTTGTCATAGAAAGTGAACATTACTAGTTAGAGACAAGAATCTTATTAATAAGAAATACTTTCAGTGGTAAGTATTACTCTTGTGTCTACGCTGTTCTAGACATGAAGACCATGTAATTGAGCAGTCTTTTCTCCATGGAGAATCTTTGTTGGTTTTACTGTTAAGCAACTTGATTCAAATCCCAAGCCCTGTTTCTTTTAACTTCACACCCTACAATCCTTCCAAGACATTTCACAACTTCCGTATGCTTGAGCCTTTCTGAGTAGAGTGGAGTTGATGGTTGTGTGACAAGACAGAGGTAGCTAGGCAAAGTATTCATAACTAAGAGCCATAGTGAATAAAAAAGGATCCATTAAGGTATGGAGCATTATCCCTGGACTGTGAGCTTTGTGGAGACCTTAGAATTGCTTTAAAAACTGAGAAATTTAAAAGAAATGAAAAAAATGTTTTCAAAGATGCTGGATCCTTAGAAACACTTTTTTGTGGGTGAATTGTTTTCACAACTACAGAAATGAATGATTTTCAGAAGTATTTCTAGTATTTCCATGGTAGATTTGACCAATATGTGGTTGTTTACAGCTTGGCTGTACAGTGGGTCTTTTTTTCTTTCTTTTGAAAGCATGTCTTTCCTAATAGGCTGTCTGGAAGAAGTTTAAAGGGAATGTGTTGATACTTAGATTATATTGTTACAACAAACACTAGATATGTTTAAAGACTCTTTGTCAAGGTCAATCTGGGTTTCACCAAGATTCCTTTGACAACAAAAGTTCATTTCATCAGCTTCATTCCCCTATCATTAGAATCTGCCCCTGCTTTGGCAAAATTAATTGTTCTCTCAAAATTACGATTTAATGATTTTTCTTGAATCATTCATTTAAATGCCCGACCTTAAAATTAGAATTGAGTGTAACTTAAAAAATTACTATTTAAAAACTCCTTGACATTTTCGAGGCTCTACTCCAAGGCTTTTTATTTTTATCACACCATAAATGATATGCTAAGTAGCATTGACTTCTGATGCTGGGAGGTGGGAAGAGTAGAGCCCTGGAGTTGTTTGTGTTTGAACCCAATGCTGGGCCAGTGTTGACTTAGGTAGACTTCCTCTCTTCTCTATTCATCTCTAATTCCTCTGTGAGCCCGGACTAGCCAAGCCCCACAAGGTGATCCCCTCTTTGCAGCACTTGCTGGGAAGACAGTACCCTCCAGGAGTTAGTTTTTTATCACCAAATAAAACTAAGGATGCCGTTAGGAATATTTTCCTAAATAGTCTCTGGAAAATGGATAATATGTTGGCCAGTTTATACTTTGCTTCTGAGTTTCTTACTGCACACGGTTCTTTTTCATTTTCTTGGGTAGGATCTGGGCAGGGATCCCCGACTTTCTGAAAGATTTCCTAGGGTACTCCTTGACTCAAAGACTTATCTCTGCGATCGGTTGAGAGTGTTTCTGTTTCTTGGCCAGCAGTTCTCTAGCAGAAAGGACACCTGAGGCTCAGAGCAGCTGAGGCCGGAGGCAGCGGAGAGCAGATGATTTCAACAGCTGCCTCTCTCCAGATCCTAGTTGCTTTCTCCTGATGTGGCCTGTGGCTCCAGATGGAGCTCTTATTCCATCTCACTTACTAACTTCAATAACAAAACAATTAGTGTTGATTTTCTGTTTACGGTTCTTTTACGTAATTCTGTCCTTTCCCCATCTTGCCAGAGGTGCTTATGATGGCATTGTAATTGAACGCAACCTCTTCCTGGGATGTGTACTACAGCTCAGACTAGAACAAAAATTGGTCCTTTGTCTGTAAAGTATCTACAGAATTAGCTTTTGTGATCCTCCTTTTTTTTCTTCAAATTAAAATAAAAATTAACGTCATAAAACAATTTTAAAGTTCGGGAATTAAGGGATGGCCCAGAGGTTAAAAATCTGCTCTTCCAGAGGAATAGAGTTCGATTCCTGACATGGCCACTCACAATCATTTGTAACCCCAGATCCAGCAGACAAAAAAAAAACCCTCTTATTTCCTTCATGGGCACTAGGCACACAAGTGGTATGCAGACATATGAAAAGACAAAACCACACAAACATTTAATACATTTAAAGTTCATGTCATAATAATACAGCATGTAGTGTGTGATACAATAATTGTAATATAATCCTCATTAATTTTCCTCCCAGCAAGGATAAACCAGCAGCATCTGTTGTTGTAGTGCATTTTCTTGCCTGCCTCCCAGCTTCCCTTTCTCTCTCTCTCTCTCTTTCTTTCTTTCTTTCCTTCCTTCCTTCTTTCTTTCCTCTCCCCTCCCTCTCTCCCCCTCTCTTTCCTTCCTTCCTTCCTTCCTTCCTTCCTCCCTCCCCCCCTCTTCTTTCTCTCTCTCTCTTTCTTTCTTCCTGCTTTGCTTCTTTCTTTGAGACAGGACCACATGCAGATGAGGCTGGCCTCAAATTTCCTATGGCTCCAAGGAAGAACTCCTCACTCCCATGCCTCTACTACCCAAGTGCTATAATTATGCGTTCCCAACTGGGCAAGGTTGATTTTCATTGTTTTAATGGGAAAAAAACCATTGAAAATTGATACATGATCATACCATGAGTTCAAACTATTGAGAAAAATTTAATTAAAGAAGTTTAAAAAACATTTAGTCACTCTTACTACCTCCAAGCGAACATCAGTGGCATTTGGTGGGCATCACCATAGGAGTCTTCTCGTTTCCACAAATGCAGAGAATACTAAGAATGTTAGTACATTAAAATGTTACAGATTCTAAAAAGGCTTGCATATAACTTGAATCAATAATTATGAGGAATTGAACTATACATAAGGTATACGTATAATATGTCTTCTGTATGGACAACACATATAATGTATACATATGTTAATCACAAGAAAGGTTTTTCTTGAAAGATTTTATTAGGGTAAAAGGAATAGGTAAGAAAACATTTTAAAATTGCATGAAAAAGTTAGAGTTTTGGTTTTCTTTTGAAAGAGAGAGACAGTGTGTGTGTGTTTGTGTGTGTGTGTGTGTGTGTGTGTGTGGTGTATGTGTGGTGTTTTTGAGTTTTATCTCTCCTTTAGAGTTTCATATTAGATTCTTTATTGTTTTCTGGCATCGAATACTACTGCAGAAAAATTGTGAATGAATTGGTTTTCTCCCATCACTGATTTGTTATAATCCTTGATGCTGTAGAATTCATTCCTCACTCTTTCTTAAAGTATGGTACAGTAATGAACACATGCGTGTCACAACTGCAATCTATAGAAGAAATTACACTTACTTTCCAAATGGAAAATGCAATTGTTTTTCTCTATTCTGGGTATTTTTTTAATTACACCATTGGGATTTCACTGGTTGTACTTTTCACTGTACTTTTAACT